TAAAGTTGGAATGGTTCTGTCTGATAGACAAGGAGCCAACAGTCTGCATATGGTAGGCCGTAAGTTGGTGCCTTAGCAAAACTTTCAGGAGAGAGAGAGAAAACTTACCCACGGAATGAAAGCGCCCTCTACATTGAATTGAAACATGAACAGGAGTGGGATATCTTCTTTTTTTTTCTTCCAAGGAAAATTTGGGTGTTTATAACATTATTATTGGGCAGTACACAATTGACTTGCAATGTTTAATCTAACCTTTAAATACTGTTGCATTTACAGCCAGTCAAATTGATTTCGCCTACCTATGTGAGTTGTGGACAATCTCGCAGTCTTTAAGGAAGACAATAGCAGCTTTTGAGCTAAAAGGTTATATAAGGATTCTCAGAATATCACTGACAAAAAGGAAAACAAATGCAGACATCCTAGAATAGCCGAACATCAAGGACGAATGGCTATTAGACAGCATGTGTGATGGAAATTGAAATACTTCGATCATATTAAGTGCCATGTCGATTTGGGGGGGAAAATTATAGCAGAAGGCTTGGTGCCAGGAAAGAGAGACAAAGGCTCCCTAGCACGAAGATGGACACAAGAGATACGCAACAACTTGGGTAAGACGGTGCACAAGGCGGTAGAGCTGGTGAGAGACCGAGTTATTTTTCTTTTTTTGGACAGATAGGGAAGAGAGCGACGTTCTGTAAAGGAGCCGCATCATGATGATGATATAGTCCACAGCCTGAACAATTTCCAACCCCAGTCCAGAGAGGGTTGGCTTTTTTCCAGACAATGGTGGAAAATGGAAGCATTGGAATCGCAGCCCATGACGATGGCGAGTGTGACTAGAAGTAGCGATTAGAGCATGGAATTTCAGAGAAGTAACAATTTCACAGGTGTAGTTGATGTCAGACATGCAGACACCAAGACAGCATAAATATGTGAGAAGACAAAAAGACAGCATAAATATGTGAGAAGACAAAAAGACAGCATAAATATGTGAGAAGACAAAAAGACAGCATAAATATGTGAGAAGACAAAAAGACAGCATAAATATGTGAGAAGACAAAAAGACAGCATAAATATGTGAGAAGACAAAAAGACAGCATAAATATGTGAGAAGACAAAAAGACAGCATAAATATGTGAGAAGACAAAAAGACAGCATAAATATGTGAGAAGACAAAAAGACAGCATAAATATGTGAAATATGAAGAAGACAAAAAGACAGCATAAATATGTGAGAAGACAAAAAGACAGCATAAATATGTGAGAAGACAAAAAGACAAAAATGTGAGACAGCATAAATATGTGAGAAGACAAAAAGACAGCATAAATATGTGAGAAGACAAAAAGACAGCATAAATATGTGAGAGAAGACAAAAAGACAGCATAAATATGTGAGAAGACAAAAAGACAGCATAAAGACCAAAAAGACAGCATAAATATGTGAGAAGACAAAAAGACAGCATAAATATGTGAGAAGACAAAAAGACAGCATAAATATGTGAGAAGACAAAAAGACAGCATAAATATGTGAGAAGACAAAAAGACAGCATAAATATGTGAGAAGACAAAAAGACAGCATAAATATGTGAGAAGACAAAAAGACAGCATAAATATGTGAGAAGACAAAAAGACAGCATACATATGTGAGAATACAAAAAGACAGCATAAAAATCTGAGAAGACACCATGTTGAAAATTTCGACTGAACTGTTTGTACCTCAAAGGAATCTTTCCCGAATTGCCTCAAACAGTGGAGCGGTTGTAAGACCAATTGAAGAAGTATGTACAGTCCCATGAAAACTTAACTGCCTTGAAGGGAGCTAGGTTTTTGAGATCTTCAGCTGAGCAATGGTGTTTTCCTTGCCGATATATATATATATATATATATATATATATATATATATATATATATATATATATATATATACTATATATAGAGAGAGAGATATAGAGAGAGAGAGAGAGAGAGACCTTCATCCAGGCCATATTTCAACGACTTTATTTTTATTTTACAATGATATAAGGAAAACATTTGTTTCGAAAATAATATATATGGTCAGCCTTCGGCACAGGTCTTGCATTCCCTTTGTTGCGAGGTTTTTTGTTTTGTTTTGTGTGTGTTGGAAAGTCAACATGGAGTAGCGAAGTAGCTATGCTAATGATATGGCTGCAACCTAGCAGTCGGAGAACGTTGGAGTAAGGGGTGAAAGACTAAATAAACCATCTGGCAGATGGCTCTCAAACAAACAAGGGCGAAACCGCATAACGACCGCTTACGTTTACCAGATACACGCACTTGTTTCTGTGGAGAAAGCCGACGTAATATGGAGGCGACATTTTAGATCCCTACGTTGGTAACTATCGTCATCATGTAGCAGGGTCTTCGCCTTCACTTCCATCAAAGAAACTCTGTACCTTGCTTTCGGTACAAAGAAGGATCTCAGACAAAGCTGATTCATCCCCACTCTATGCTACCAATTCCAGACTTGGCTCCTCACAACAAACCATAAAAGAAAACCATGGAAATGAGATGTTTGAAATGACTGCAGGTCGAGAAAAGATACAATAAGAATGAAGTCTTGTGAGGGACTGCGTCTGCAATAAAGCTATCCGATTATTTATTGTAGACAAAAGAGCACAATTGAATACCAAACGATACATAATATCAGGAAAAAAAAGAGTTGAGGAGACGAATGAAGATGAAACGAAGAAACAGGAGGAGGAGGGAGGAAACAGAAGAAGAAGAAAAAGTAATTGTCTGTATCAGCAATTGTGTCTCTCCTATAAATGTCATTGTCGTTTTTGTAGAATTTAGGTTCCACTGCTGTTCTTTCTTTGTGTTTACATTTCAGGCTAAGGAAACAGAATTCAGATTGAACTCGACAGGAAGAATGATCTGGCAACAAGTAGTGGAAAGGCATGGTTGCCATATTGGCATTTTTGATGCCAGATTCCACAAAGTTGGCATATTTGCAATTGAACTGGCATAAGATAATGAACTGGCGTATTTTTGGCACATTTGGGTTTTTCCTTTTTTTCTTTTCTTTTAATCAAGTTGTATAAGTGCATAAGACAATCCCAATCAGCACAAAGAGACATCTTATTCAAAGCATATTTATTCCAACTCTGTGCTACCAGTGCCAGACATGGTCACTCACAACAAACCATAAAAGAAAATTAGTAACCACGGAAATGAGATGTCTGAGAAGGGCTGTAGGAGTGACCATAAGAGATAAGATCAGGAATGAGATCATAAGAGAACAAGTCGGCACTGAACCAATTCTGGATTACATACAAAGACAGCAAGTGAAATGGTTTGCCCACTTAGAGAGAATGCCTTGTGACACCATACCATACAAAGCATACATGGAAAGAGAAGAAGGACGTAGAACACGGGGTAGATCAAGAACAAGATGGAAGGATAACATCAGAGAAACTCTACAACAGCACGATGTGCCTATGGTCGAGGCAGCCAGAAGAGCTAGAAACAGAACCTTATATCTCCCTCGACACCCACAGCGGTAAAAGAGGAAGTGAAGAAGAAGAAGAAGAAGAATCAAGTTGTGCTCACATTTTCTTCATTGTTCTTCTTTCGTTAGAAACACGCAGATTTACTAACAACAGTGTAGACCTACAGTTAACATCTTTATTTCAGTTTGACTTTGTTTGGATGTCCTGGTACGGACCAACGGAGATTCACGCCATTTCTTATTGTATTTGTTGTCTTCCTAAACGGATCGTGCCTTCGATAAACCAAGGCCCTCTGTAATTTATGTTAGTCTACTGGAATAAATGCGGATATAAAACCAAGACCCACCACTGATATCAAGCTATTCAGACTGTCCAGAAACTACTTGAGGACAGAAAATAGAGAGGATATAGACCTAGTTCTATCTGTGATAGATTTTATTACTTTTACCATTAGCTACATCATCTAAAAAATGGAAAAAATCTTATGACGTCGCAAGTATAAAGGTAACTGGAAGAAAACATACCTACGGCTCAAAAGATCTTCAGACGAATCAGAGGCAGCAGATTGTAAACTGTGTCAGTGCACTGTTTCACAAAGACTTAGTAACATATCATCATGAGAAATTCGAAAAACACAGGATGAAAACTCTGTCAAAAAGCCAGTCACACAGCAATGACTGCTAGGCAAAGAAATGATACAGTTAAAGGCAGCAGAGTTCTTCTTCTTCTTCTGCGTTCGACATCAGTCATGCAACACACTGAGTCCCGTCTGGGTCAAAAATAGGATTGTGCGTTTAAGGTCGCCACCGGTCCCCCCATAGCTTCTCTCGCAATGTGGATCCCCTGGGCCAGATCCACAGTCTTTGCTGGGAGAGGTAAGGACAGTACTGCAGTATGTGCTCAGGGGTCTGTCTTTCTGCTCCACAATCACAGGCAGCTTATTCTTTTATGCCTATCCTGTACAGGTGTGCTCGAAGACCACAGTGTCCAGTCCGAAGTCTAAAAATTGGAGTTGTAACCTGCTGTAGGCATGACCTGCCATTGTGCAATACGCACAATTGATTATCTAAGTGAAATCACGAGAACGCATGGTCGGGGGAGTACATTGAAGCACATACAGTTGCATATAACTAAATGTTCATGCCTTAAATAAAAAAAAATATTATATCGACTGCACTTAAGGATGACCTTACTGAAGATTTCGGAACAAGAAATATGCCATCATTATAGATGAGTTGCAAAGACTTCATCTCATCTGAGAAAATGCTTCAAGATTTTACATCCGAAAAGATTTCCACTGGTTGCAGTTAGGATGTCAGTGAAGAATTAAATCTAGAGCTTTTGGTGTAAAGTGAGTACAATGTTATACTTTATTTGGCATTTTCTGGCATATTTTGGTAATGGTTTGGCATAAAATGAAATTGTTTATCTGGCTACCCTGTGGAAGAAAGGACGCAGAAGCAGAAGTGAGACGATCGGCTGGCTCAGTAACGTTTGATGGTGTCTCACCGCCGTTAGCTAGAAGAAAATCATGTCGGACGAAGAAGATTATGATTCGGAGGAAGATTTAGATTATATTCCTTCAGGTAAGTTTTGTAAATTCAAATTGTGTGTGTTCAGCGTCGATATTTACTAATTTATCTCAGACCGGGACCGAGTGGAATTTTGTAGGAGGCTGCCTGGCTGATTTTTTTTTTCACTTTCAATTCATTCAATTCAAATGATTAATCTGGTTTTTTTGTGTTTGTTTTTATTTTTTTTTTTAGATTCACTAAATCTGCTCGACAGTAATATCAAGAAAGCCGACCGCCCAGAAAGATATGGCAAACTACTGGACGTAAATTTGCCTAGAGTCGGTCAGGCTAGAGGAACCACACAACAGCCAGGGGCTGCTGGGGTTGGTTCTGCAACGTACTGTAAAATGTAAAGCCGATAGAGCTTGAAGAACACACTAGACAACATAAAAATCGAAAGCTATTTACCGTGCCTGACATTGAACCTGTTACCTCCAGCCGGCGTGTGCGCCATGCCATGGATACAAGTGCACTAAGAACATGGTCAACTAGGCACCCCCCAAAAAAGGTGCCTCCTTACCTTCTTGGCCATGTCTATACAGCTTGAAATCCACAACTATGGAATGTTACTACGGACAGAATTCATTGAACTAGCACCATAGGTATTTGAGCTATCCTCCAAATAACGGGCACAAAAGTTGGCGGCCAAAAACAGGGACTCAGTCATGTGTCAATTGCGCACTTCTGGCGACCTCATTTGCGGTTTTCCGGCGACTAATGCCACCGCAGAGAGTATCCTCCACGCCGCTCATGTCACGTGGATTGGGGCTAAACTAGATGGCTAGGACTCACGAGCAAAGCTGCATGAGATGCGGTATCTGCTGCCCATGGGGGACACTTGCGGAGGTTGCCAAAAGTTCGCAATTTGGCGCGGCGGAAGTTGCCGGAAGCTCGTATTTCAAGACGACGGAACTGCGCAGTTGACACGTGACTTGAGGCCCTGTTAGGGTATATTTTACGACCGTTATTCAGAGGATAGCCACATAGTCACTAACTAGGCAACCCCCCAAAAAAGGTGTCTTATTGGCTATGTCTATCATCTATCTTTCTATGAGTGCCGATCAATACACTTTATGTTACTTAATTAATTCATAATATTTAACGTCCTCAAAGGTTCCCCCCTCTCTTTATTTATTTATGTAAAGGATACGCAGCTAATCTAACCTTAGTCTTCTATTTCAAGCATTTGGCCATCTTTTGAGTGACCGAATTATTTTGCTGCAAAATCTAATATTGATTTACAAAATAAATCGGCTAGATTTCCATTCATCGTTAATATTATAAACATTTCGTCTGTGTTTCGTCAGCATGTTTTGAGTTCAGCGATTTAAATTATCTAGAGTACATCTGTCAAACTATGAACAGAGTAAATGATAAAACTAATAATATTAAAAGCGGAGTAATTTTTTTCTAATCGGCTAGATTTCCATTCATCATTAATATTATAAACATTTCGTCTGTGTTTCGTCGGCATGTTTTGAGTTCAGTGATTTAAATTATCTAGAGTACATCTGTCAAACTATGAACAGAGTAAATGATAAAACTAATAATATTAAAAGCGAAGTAATTTTTTTCTAATAGTGACTAAAAAGTATAAAATCTTGAGAAGGGATGAGTCAAGGTAACAGCTGTTTCTGGGATACTGTCACTACTTGATAGGATGCTAGGGGTGGAAACAATTAGCATGCAAGTTCTTCTTTTTAAGCATTAATCTGCAATAAACTCCAGCAGTAAGTTCTGGTTGTTCATCCACTTCTGAACTTTCGTCATGTTCCTTGGTTCCACACCTTGAATTTTGTGTGATTGATTGATTTGATTTGATTCAAGAACCAACATCACAGCACTCTGGGTATTCCCATAAGCGCTCCGTCCCCATCTTCAGCAGCCAGCGAAGAGTTCCAATACTAATGGTGCCAGTAGCATTATGATTAAACAACTATCCTGCCTTTCCTCTGAGCCTCGAGGCATCTGCCGAAACCTCTCATCACTTTCCCCTGCATAAATCTTGCCAGACTGGTGATCCATCTGCTCCTCTGAACTGTACACGCTCTCCCACAAGGCACTAACCACGTCGCCTTATCATGCATCAGTATTCTTCCAAATTGTGCAGAGCCAGCCAGTCTGTTTATGTCCCAACACACCGGCGTGTCCCGGTGAAAGAATCCAGACAATACTCCTCACCAGTGTCCTCTGCAGCGAAGCATGCCTGTCCTGATCTTCCTCAGCATGCTTTCTGAGTCAGTTACAATCATGATCTGGAATGTTGTGTTGTTATCCATTTTACAGTTCTGGCTTATTTGTATGCAGACTGTTGGTTGAACACAGCTCAAGCAGATGCACCTTAACTTTGAAGGAAACCCTACTTAGTTGACTTTTACAACATACTTGTTAGTAGTTGGTGGGTCACACAAACACACACCCCCCCCCCCCCCATTTCTTCTCGCTGCTGCTAATGGAACATACCTAGAGAAGTTAATGTTTGAATGCCTTGTTAAAGAGAAGATAATGAAAGGATGAAAACCTCACATTCTGTTTCTTCCTTTCATTAGAGGGAGAGCCTGCAAGTGAAGAAGAGAACTCTGGTGATGAAGAAGATCTGTCACTGTTGAAGGATGATGGTACAGAATGTAACGAAGCCACCCAGAATCGAAAAACAAAGGCCAAGAAGCAAAACAAAATAGCTGCAAGGTATTGTTTTACCGAACCTTTGCTGATCTTTATACTACTTGTTGCACTTATATATTTCTCATCTACCATTAGTATATAACTTCAACATATGTCTTTAGTTATAGTATCTTCTTTATTTTTTCCTTTAATATCTGTTTTGGGTGATATATAATGAGGTCCTGCTTCTTTCTTGTCTAGCGACTCGACCATAGACACATCATATTCTTGTGGAGATTGTGTTACGTTATCTTTTAATATTTTTTCTTTGTTTATTTCATGCCCTACGTCCCTCTCCTCTTTTGATAAATTCCTTGTGTGGTGTGGCATTGTAAGGCATTCTCTCAAAGTGGACAGACAATTTTGTTTGTTGTATTTGAATGTAATTTATTATTGGTTCTTTGCAGACTTTTCTTTTATGACTTTGTTCATGATTCTCGGACATCTGATTTTCATGGTTACTTATTTTCTTTTCTGATTTGTTGTGAATGAACATGGATAGCATAGTATGAGGTGTTTCTTTATGCTGTTTCATGGTTTGCTTTGCTGCATCAGATGTTAATTTCTTCATCTAATTTATCTTCTTCTATGAATGTTTGCTCCCATACTAGTTACAGCATTATTATTTTAAAATTGTTTGTCAAAACATAAAAAAAAAAAATTAAAACTGCTTAAATAAATTTTTTTTACAGGAGACGGAAAGGAGGAATAAAACTTGAAGAAAAAGACAACAATGCAGCTTCAGAGGGCACTGCACAGAAAGAGGTGGAATGTGGAAATGAAGAAGAGGCTTTAAGGAAGAAAGAACTTGCAGAACAAATAGCTGCAGAGGAAGGGATGAAGAAAAAAGAAAAGGAGAAGAAAAGAGCCGATGATTTGTGGTCTAGTTTCATGGCAGATGTCAAGCCACCACCATCTCATTCAAACCCCTCAGCCACAAAGGTAAGTGACATTTGTGTGTATGTGAGAGAGGGAGGGTTAATAATTAAATGTCCTTGTCTGAATTATGAGAAGACTTCAGTGGAAAACTTGAAAAGTGTGATAGAAATTCAGTAACCATGTCATTGTCTTGAAACCTATCAGTATTGTTGTCAAGGATATCAAGAGTGTTAAGCATGTGATATGTTACGGACAAACAGGTTGAATTCATAAATAATGATAAATAATTTTTAACATTCTGTTGTAAACATTTCAGGTGGGATCATCCAATGGTGTTGTCCCTAAAACAAAATCAGATGACACAGGAAGTGCCAGATCTGGGAAAGTAACAATTACAAAAATCTTTGATTTTGCTGGTGAAGAAATCAAGTGAGTTATATTGCTTGACCTGTGTTGTTCATTTCAGTTGTAGTAATTTGTTATTTGTCATCATCGTCATTAAGTGCCTTGCCAGCTGGCATAGGCGTTCATGCATCTCCACACATCTCAGTCTTTGGTGTTCTGGTTCAATTCCAGCGATGATATTCCTTCTTAAGCCATCCACCATCATTTCTCTTGGTCTTCTTTTGCCTCTTCTACTAGTGATCTTTCCAGTTGTCACAGTATTTTCCAGTGCTCCTTTTCTCATTACGTGACCAAAAAACTGTGTTTCCTTTTCATTGTTGTATATAATATTTTACTTTCATTAGCCATTTTCAGACAATCATTGTTAGTTATTTTGGCAGTCTGAGATATTCACAACATTCTTCTCAAGAACCACATTTCACTTGCCTCCAAACTCTTCCTAATTTGTTTGCTCACATTCCAAGATTTACTGCCATACAACAGAACAGGTGTGATGTAACATTTCTGTACTCATTTTCTGAAGTTTAATGAATGTGATTTATTACAAAAGATACTTTTCATCTTCTGAAACGCTCGCTGCCTTTGCCTGGTGAATTCTGCTCTTAATAATTTGTTATTGAAAGTGCTAAACTGCATTATAGTTCTGTTTATTGTCACTGAAATCTGGCAGAAACTTAACTCTTTCTGTAGCTAGTGACGCACAGTTGGTTGGAGTATGCACACAAAATCTGGCCACATATTTTAAATGCAGCATAGTGTATGCTGTGGCTTTGAAAGTCAGTTTCACTGTGATTTTTGTGCCCCAAATTGGATTCCTACTTTTAAACTATCTTGGACAAAGGGGTCTGAATGAGTTAAGGGTCTGGGAAGAAAAGGAGTTACGAGTATATAAACAAATAATTCTATTTAAATAGTGTTGTCTTGGTTAATTTGTTGTTTGTTACTATTTCTTTCATCTTTGTACTCACTTTCTCTCCTCCTATGATCATCACTATAAATCTTTCTAATTATCCCCCACCCCTTCTTTTCAGAGTGACAGAAGAGGTAGATGCTAATTCTAAAGAAGCCATGGCAGAACAGAAGAAGCAGGAAATGGCAACTCAGGAAAGAGAGGAGAGCTCTGTTCAGCCAAGTCCTTTACCACTGGGGTAATATTTGTGTAAGAGATTGTCATCATCAAGTGTCTGGCTGACTGGTGTGGGCGATCATGCCCCTGCACAGTCTGCGATCTTTAAACAACGTGTATCAGTTTGTGTGCTGATAACCCTTCTTGCCCTGACAGAAGACTGTCAAGAATCATCTCGCATTGTCTTCTTCTGTCTCTTTTTCCACAGATCTTTCCAGTGGTCGCAGAGAGTTGCAGTTTCCTTTGTCTCATAATATGACCAAAGAAAGATGGTGGTTTCTCTCTGATGTTTCTCAATTGTCTTTGAGCTCTCACCTCTTTCCAAACATCTGATTGCTCTTTTTTTTGGCCGTCTAAAAATTCTTCTGTAAAACCGAATTCCCAGGGCCTCAAGAAATTGTTTGACTTTTAAAAAAAGAGAAAAACATTCTGTTGTTATTACTTCTGGCGGAGAAAGTTCTGGTTTTGTGACCTATTCTGGACTTTAGTCTTGTTCCAGAACCTGCATGCAGATCCATTTGACTGATCTGACTTATTTGTTTGCAGACTGTTGGTTTCTAATCTATCAGGAAGATGCACGCTGACTTAGAAAGAAACCCCTTGTTAGTCAACTCCTATGACATGCTTGCTAGGGAGACAGTGGGTCTGTTCTTGTTTTCCCCATAGTGGGGCCAGAACTAACACATGAAATGTTTTTATTAAAAACTTGGGATTTTATTTGAATCCTAAACTGCTACTAGCTAAATGCCTGGATTGGAAACAATTTGTTGTTTTTACGTTTTTATTACGCTCCCCTGTGAATTTGAAGGTTGTGGAGCCGGACCTTGAAAAGTGACCTTGGCTCCCAGGTCAACCCAGCCTTGAGAGGGTACCAGGTGCAGTCCTAGGATCTAAAGGAAGTCGGCATGATGCTGACCACATCACCCATCTTGTGCCATTGGTCTATAAAATATAGGTCTAGCCCTATATACCTAGTACAACTGAAAGGGTCCTTTACTTACTTTACTTTTGCATTTTAAGTGAAATATTATTCTTTGATGGGATTCTAAGTACTAATTTAGAAATAATTTATCTTTGATTAGTAGCCTTAGTGAAGTAAAAATATGGGGAGGACATGGGGAGAGCTGCGTGCAATAGTGAGGAATTAAGCAACTTGACGTGAGTTGGCTGAGGGTCCGTGTTCCATTACAGGAATAGAAAAACAGAAGAAAAAGAAGAAAGCCTATGTCTGACTGACAGAGCTTCAGGGAGCTGATCAATCAACTGCCACTTGCTGACCCAACAGCATTCAGTCTTACGGGACTGTAGTGATGTTGAAAGTCTGTGTACGTATCACATAGAACCTGCAGGTGTAATGAGCACAGTTCATATGTTTTTAAAATAATCAGCACTAGGTGGTATCTTACCTGACTTTATAGGACAATTACTGTTAGCTGTTCTATGTGGAGGGATTCAAATCAAAACCTCAAAAGTGTGGGGCTGCAAAGCAACGAAAAATTGCATTCCACAAAGGGATGACAAAGATATTGTCTAAAATAGGGGAGAAGTAAAGCGAATCAAATTGTTGGACGTGTGCCACCAGTATTGCAGAACAAACATTTAACAGTTGACACAAAAAGAGCACTATTCAATACAGTTTAAAAAAAAATGTGTTTCCAGTGCCAGTCATGGACATTAGCTACAAAAAGAAACAAGAAAATCAGAGCAACATAAATGAAGTATCGACAGTGATCCTAAATATAACTAGAAGAGACAGGATCATAAATGACAATATTAGTAAACAAGATTTAATGCAATCAGTGCTAAACTACACCAAGAGACAACATATTGAATCGGTCCGACCTGTGTCAAGACTACCTGCAGATGGTGCACCACACAGAGCACCCTGTCCCTAAGACAGTGGAAGCAGAACTACAGGTCACTCACACAAACGATGGATATATAAAATATCTGAGGCAGTGAATACTAGTACCTACATGGCACACACCAGTGTCTCCAAGTTTAGAAAACCTGCTACGGAACAACAGAAAAGTGATTAGAGAAAATAATACCACCACCAGACTGACATTATCCTATCACAGCGCTTCATTTGTCCCTTGTAGCTTTGAGCAGCCTCCACCAAGTGAGATTTACCAGACTCAGAGATGGGGAATAAATGCGGTCCTTGCAGTTATTTGCTGACTGTTATTTTCTGTATTTGTTTAGGGTTGCCGTCAAAAGGCCTGCTGTGGGTGGCCTGGGCACAGTCTTGAGCAAGATTTCCAAAAAGAACAAAATGGGAACACTTGTAAGTTTATTGTGACATGGTTGTCAGTCTTTGGGAACATTTATCAGTTTCTTTCTTTATCTCTTTGTTTTTTTTCTTTCTTTCTTTCTTTCTTTCTTTCTTTCTTTCTTTCTTTCTTTCTTTCTTTCTTTCTTTCTTTCTTTCTTTCTTTCTTTCTTTCTTTCTTTCTTTCTTTCTTTCTTTCTTTCTTTCTTTCTTCTTTCTGCTTTGGCTTTATTATCTGTCTTTCTTTTCGCTGGCTTTCTTTCTTTCTTTCTTTCTTTCTTTCTTTTTTTATTTCCTTATGTCTTTATGTCTTCATCTTCTGCTTACTGCTCTCATCTACTAATAAAGTATGATCTTAAAACAGCACACATCTAGCTTTTTGCAGATCTGTTCATAAATGGTTAGATTTAGCAACCTTTTTCACTGTCCTTCTTAGTTGCATGCACTGTGGTTTGCAATGACTACTTTGCTGTTCTTATGGGCCCTTGAAGCACACAGGGAACCCATTTATAGCTAATGAGTTGGGGAGACCTTGTCCCAGAATTATCCCAGATTATTTTTATGTGTGGTCTGGGGGCCCATTTTATAGGCGGTGGGAGGGGGGGGGGGACCCTTCTGCCCCCTTCCCATAAATATGTAAAAGGCAACTAATTAGGGATTTATTCTGTAAAGTCGAAATGCGTCTGCCTGAGAGGGCCTAACAGCCTGCACACCAATAAGACAGATCTGTGAAAAAGATGTGCATACAGAACTCCCAACTATGAAACAAGACAAGCAGAACTGTTCAGCAGAGTTTATAGCTGGTGGATAAGAAGAAGAAGAATCTGGAAAGTTACCTGGCCAACAAATGCTTGATGAAGTGTCTTTGTTTGACCAAATTGTGGGCTGGGGAAACAAGAATATTGAAAAGAAACCTAAGGTGGACATGACGAGAGAGGTCAAAGGTTCTGGACTGGATTGAACAAAATGTTGCCTAGGATAGATCATAATGGAAGAATAAACTGTGAGCACTATGTGACATGTAACGGAACAGGAGTATTATGAGTATCCATCTGACTAGATATATCTTGAGGGTCTATGCTCCATTAGGGGCTAAGAAGGCAGAAGAAGATGGCACATCTTCTTTGTTAGTTATTGAAAAAATGTCCTCCATGATAGCATAATGGAAGAATGCTCCGTGAGATTTGGGACATTATAATGGAATAACTGGAGGATTATACTGCCTAAAAACGGGTACATTTCTGACAATTTTGTGTTAAGTTTCAGCTAACTGCATTTTGTACTTTTCTGACTAAGGGGATCAGAACCCATTGACTGGGATTCTTTCAAGAAGAAAGAAGGCATTGATGATGATCTCAAGATTTATAACAAAGGAAAGCAGGGGTATGTAACTAACTGGTATATATGTCATTGTTGAAGTGATGTCTGTCAGTTCTTGTAAGGTTGACATTGACTTGCAAGCGATTGTCTGTCTGTTTTATGCTGGTGTTGAACTGATGTCTGTCAGTTCTTGTATCAATTGATCAGGAAAAATCAAAATTGTTGTGTGTCTGTTCTTTCAAGAACTGATGTCTGTCAGTTCTTGTAGAGGTATAACATTGACTTGCAGTGTATGTATACTAGCTGTATGTGCTGTTGTTGAACTGATGTCTGTCAGTTCTTGTAAGGTTGACATTGACTTGCAAAGAATTGTCTGTCTGTTGTGTGCTGTTGTTGAACTGATGTCTGTCAGTTCTTGTAAGGTTGACATTGACTTGCAGTGATTGTCTAGCTGTTGTGTTTTGATGAAGGCTTTCTTGCCACACCATTCATTTTGTCATCATAACTGTGGCTTTTTAAAGTTGACTAGTTCTGCTTTTCATTTAGATTGATATTCTTTCATGGCAGACACATTCTTTATTTGTCCTTAGCAGTAGATTAGGCACGATGTGTTGCAGGTTACAGCCAGGCTGTTATAACTGCACCATGTGGCAGAATATATGCCAGCTGTCCTTTTCAAGGCATACACAGAAAACAATTCAGGGTTAATTCTTTGCAGACGATACTGCTTCTAGGTTGCGAAGTGTTACAGAATAATTAGGTCACGGCATAATGAGGTTGCAGCATAATGAGATGGGCAGGCCTGTTATCCTCTGCCTCTTTTTCCAAGACAGCCCTTAAAATTGATCCAGTGCTCATTTTTATTAAGTTGAGCTCACATCACATGGTTGGAGAAAATAACCCCGTCAATGCTTGGAATTGAATCTAGGCAGCAGTTTTAGAAAGCAAATATTCCAGTCTTTATGCCATCTACCTGTATCCTTTTTTTTTTAAATGTCAGTGTTGATACAAAAGGTTTACATACCATGGTCCAAGAAGAAGAAAAACACATCGTAATGATCTGAGCAGTAAGGAGAATGGGCTCATAAACAGCATCCTGTCCCAAATTTTAGGTATTTTGGCCATGAACTCTTCAAAGGTGGATACAAGACGTTGAAGATGCACTGCCTATGAAAGCACATAGGGTTGGAGACTTGGCTAGAGAAAGAGAGACTTTCATGCGTGCCGGGGTGAAAGTTATGTTCTGTAAAAGACCTGCTGATTTGATGATACAATATTTAACTTTGTCATCCACATTCTTCTCTTGCCTCAACCTGTTGACCTGTTCTTTTTCCAGTTGTCACTTTAACCCTCTTTTGCCCCAGAGTTAGTTGTGTTTTATGTACCTTTAAGACTACATTTTTTTTTTCATAACAAAGTAATTCGTCTTCTGTGCTTGTCTTAAAAGAGTGGTTGCCATATTGTGTTGAGTTTTACAGCTCGGCTGTGATATCTGCACCTTTGACCCAACACATCTGATTGCAGACGACACCTAATTAGTCATCTTTTACGAACATGCCTGGGGGGGGGGGGTCCTCTTTCCACCCCTAAAAAGGGGCGCTACACGAGGAAATAATAAATGTCTAGTACAGAAAGACTAGCGGTAAATTTCTGGCTGGTTTTTATTTTTGCCTCAATTATCTTCACAGCTACACAGAACGGATGGCTTTCCTCAACAGAGCTGATCAGAGGCAATACGAAATTGAGAGGGACATAAGACTTGGCAGTACAAGCAAGAGATAACACTACTACCACTTTGTAATTTGGTGGGGGGGGGGGGTGTTTGCTGGGTTACTGTTGTTTTAGATAATTGGATTTCAGTGATGTTTTGATGGGGTTGTATGAGGATGTTTCAAATGAAAGCCTTACAAGTGTGATAGAAATTATAATGACCTTGTCATTGTCTTGTAATGTGTCAGTGTTGTTATGGATGTCGGGAGTGTTTAGATGATGGTGCAGATGAACACGGGGACATCATGATGACAGTTTTTAAAGATGGCTGCCCCTCATACAATGTGATTCATGTTGTTGCTAGTGGCTGTCAATTGTGCAGATGTTGTTATAGCTAGTGTTGTTGAGATTTATATTGTTTTATAAGTAACAAAATGAACAATGGGCTTTTTCCCCACCCCACTGGCATAATGGCCATGCAGTAGATGACTCAGATTTTTACAGACCTGTTGGAACATTATAGGTGATGTGTTCCTCATTACTTCCCGAAACATTCACTAACACCCATTTTAGGCTGGTTCTTCTTCTTCCTCTTCTTTGTTCACCGACTGTAAGCATGGCTTTTTGCCAAGATCTGAGTTTTGCGTGCACATCCATTTTACTGGCTTATTATTTGTGGGCAATTGGTTGCTCCTTGCTCCTCGGGCAGATGCACTCAGACTTCAGAGGAAACTCCCAGTTAATCAACTCCTATGACATGCTTGCTGGAGGCAGTGAGCCTATTCTTGTTTTCCCTACAATAGGATCTCAAAACCCACACAGTAAATTTTAGGCTTAGTCAACCTGGAAATGGGGGGGTCGACTGGATCCAGAGATTCGAATCCAAGACCTTCAGTTCGGCCAGGTGTAGCCACTATACCACTAAGATCTCAATGGCAAAGTAGTTCAGCCATCTCACTCTCTCAGCTCAAGGAAATTTCCGGAGGGGAGGGGAGGGAAGAAAACATGAAGGAGTTTTAAAATTTGAGTGCATTTGTACAAGTTGCAGCATTGGCTCCCATTGTAGTCTGCGGGGCTCGGGAGGACTCGGTGCTTGATCATGTGCGGACGTTTGAGTGGTAGTATGATTCCAATTGAAAGGCAACGAGTCAACATGACTTGAACATAAATTCGTTAATCCTGAAAAACCAGGCCTAGGGAACATTAAATTTAACTTTAATTATAAATGTAACATTTTAAAAGACTTCATATCAAAAAAAAACAAGGACATTTTTTTTTCATGAATCAGTTTGTACATCTTCTTTTGGACTACAGCTTTATGCTGTAAAGCGTTGCAGGGAGGAGTTTGATATATATAGTTTCCTTGTCTTTTGCTGGTTGTGTAGCTTGTGTTAGTGTATTTTGTTTCTGAAGTGTCTTTAAACTCCTTGCACCCATCTCTTTCTTGGTCGGCCACTTGCCTTGTTGCCTGCTATTCTCATGTAGTCTACTGTAGCTGCTTACTGATTTTGTTCCATTGTGACCAGATGACCAAAACCATTTGATTCTTCATGTTCTCTGAAATCATTTACAGTGACTGTACCTACCATTGTTCTTAGTTCTTCGCTGGTGACCTTGTCTCTTTTTGTTTTTTTCCCCCTGACATTTCTTATAATCTCATTTTGTTTTTGTAGAACTGTCAATGTCTGGCATTGACAGCACAAAGTTGGTACTAAAGAGTGCATTTATCAGCTGCCTTTGTGTGTGCATATTGATATTTTTTTAGGCTTCAAAAGTGGTGCTATTGGGTAATTTATGATGTTGGTGTTCTGTAGTTCCAATTGGTTTGTACATCTACTGTTACAAATCTAATAGATGGGTAAACACGATTGGCTAATATACATAATCTTGCCTCGGAAGCTGAAATATTTAGGTAATGTCAAGCGCAATGGCAGATTAGGGGCAAAAGGCAGAACTTATAATACCAGCTAGGAGGGGCAGGGGCCGACCAACACGAAGATGGGCACAGGATATAAGAGACTGATTGAATGTGAACCTGCAGGAGGAGGAAGAGCTGGCAAGAGACCATGTTTCTTTCAGGCAGACCGTGATGTTACGAATACCTTGGATGGCCAGTCACTAGGTGTGACAACCTATGAACCTGCAGGAGGCGGAAGAGCTGGCGAGAGACCATGTTTCTTTCAGGCAGACCGTGATGTTACGAATACCTTGGATGGCCAGTCACTAACAACGATAGTTTGAAAAATGCTCATGAAAGTAGATCTCTATACAGTATACAACTAATAAGAAGGAGACAGTCACTGTTTTTTTGGCCATGTGATGAGAAGAGAGGCATTGGAAAACATCCGTAACAACTGGAAAGAGGGGTAGAGGCAGACCAAGAGAGATGATGCTGGATGGGCTAAAATGATGGCATGGAGGGATATCATCAAGAGAGCTGTTCCAGGGATTGTTGAGATGGATTGCCAATGCCAGTTGGCAGGGAACATGATTTTGATGAGAGCGATGTTCTGCACTGGGCCTGCTACATGATGATGATGAGGATAACAAATGCACATAATTAAAGATGGGAGAAGGGTGTGGGTTATAGGTCTTGAGATTGCAGATATCATGGGTAAGCGTTGCTTCTGCAGCTTGTTTTCCTTTTTAGTGATCTAAGTGTGTGGGTTTGTGATAAGACCTTGTCCCATTCATGGGTGCAGGTGGTTCAGAGTTCTCCGCGTTGTTTTTGTTTCTTATTCAGGACGGGGGGCGAGATAGGCATACAATTAGTTACTGGTACCATCGGAATATAATCTCCACACTTACTGCTGAAGATAGATAGAGACGGAGCACTTTTTTGGAGTATCCCAAGTGCTATGATCTGGGTTTTTTTAATTCATAACTTCCAGGGGTTGTTACCGGAGCTAGGGGGTCTGCTTTGTGCATCACTCTTATGCAATTAGTTAAAGGGGACTGAGTTATTTGACATGAAAAGGTCCAGTAGGTTTATTTGTCTGCTTGTAAACAGCTTCCTTTCAACAAAAATGAAATCAGGCTATGGGGTGTTTATTTTTCAGGATGTTTGTGAATATATGTTTAGTATGTCTGTGTGACAACAACTGTTGGAATATCATCTTTGTTTCTACATTTGTGTCAGTAAATGATTTTTCATGTTTAAATAGGCTTCAGTATTAATTGCTTGTCTGTTGTGCTCTGTAGTGCATTTGTGTGTGCGTATTTGCATGTATGTGTTTGTAAAGAAACAAATTTTTAGTAGGGTGACTTGTGTTTTCAACTCCAGATATTATGGTCACCCTATATAGAGAGAATGAGCTCTTTGCTCTAATTCAGATTGTCACTGGCATTACCTGGTACGAATATTAGGCTCTTTGATCTGGGGATGGTGGGGAGGGTGAATTAAGAAAAAAATCCTACGCCTTCGAACGGGCAGGCAAATATTTGGCTGCTACGTGGCATTGGCTTCTGGTTTATCAAGCATTCTGGTAAAGTCTTACCTCTGTGGCCTCCAGGAAAAGGCAAAATAATAATGTGACCTCAGACATGATTCAACATGTTTCGGGGGTCAGGTAAAGCATTTTGACTTCACAGCAAATGGGTCATCCCACGGCTGCTCGGTTCCTATGCCAACAACAACCACACAGAATGCCCATTGCTCTCTCTTGTGGAACAATAGACACGGACTGCAGTCTCAGCAAATCCAATAGCATACACACAGACATTATGTGAATAAGGCAGTTGTCAGAAGTGCCAACAAAAACTAGAAATGCAGTTAATCATTGATGGAAGCAGCGGTTTCAGCAGATCAATATTTGCACTGGCAGTCAATCACATAAGGCACCACCACTTCAGTTACAACAGACGACGCTGTTTTTGTTTAGCATCTACAGCTCACAACACAAACCATGTTGGAAGGAAGTGACATCCGCAGCTCACAGTGTCATGCCATGCACTCACCTCTGTAGCTGGGCGATGAAACTATATCTTCAGTCAACACAAGAGGGACAATAATTTTTCACAAGTCTCAAGCCCAACTCCGGCTGTTGGGGGGGGGGGGGGGGGGGGGGGGGGGGGCCTAATGTAACCTGACTGTTGAACAGGGTATCTGGTAATTGTATACCCTGGTGATTCTCATCCGAATTGTGGCACTTTGTGTCACCCGTTTTTATCGCTGGTTGTCTGGTCCTGGTCGGGTTGAACTTCATTCTCAGGTTGAAGTCCATTCATTCAGAAAAAAGAAGAAAAAACACGATTAGTGACATTTTATTAGCATTAAATATAACATGTACGATTATGGAATCCTAGATGCCGAGGCGCTGAACCACTACTGGTTGTGCACTAGGACCAGGGATTGTAGGGTCAAGTCCCTTCCATGTCTCTCCCCAGTCATTCAGAATATAGGTTCTCAACATAGAACCTGGCCAACTGAGACAGCATCGATGATTCCTTCCAAGTCGGAGTGCATCTGCCTGATAACCAACCGCTTGCATACAAATAAGCCAGTTCTGTACAATTAATACGCACGCAAATTTTGAAACACGATTTGAGTACAGAAGTGGATGAACAACCAAATATTTCGGACAGAATATATAGCCTGTGAACGGAAAGGGGAAGAACAACAGATCAGTATCATGTACACGGGTAGTAACCCATAAATACTCTATTCTTCTTCTAACTCAAGTCTGAGTCCGCAGAAGCTCAGCACTGTGCACAGGCTAGGATCCTGAAATACTTTGGGTAGATTTTCAACTCCAAATTTTGGCCGAGCGGCGCCGTCAGGCTACTCTTTTCGATTTCCAACTACCAAGGGTTTTTTACGTGCGTAACAATACACACGGGCGTCCGATCTCACTACCCAGAGACCAGGGGAATTACTAAAAGTCATAGTCTAGGGTAAAAATCCCAGCCCTTACCGGGGATTGAACCCTGAACCTCTTGCACTCGAGGCGGACACCATGTCTCGAGACCACGAAGCCATATGGAAGAAGGTTATGGAATCCCATTTACACGAGGGCGCAGTCCATCCGACGATAAATCATCAGTTGACGATCCCGGTAAAGAAGTTAGTCACATCGTTGTCAGTTTTTCTTTTTTCTGAGAAATCTCTTCTGCTCGATACAAGTCTTTATGGATTATGTTTTTGCAGATGACGTAGTGTACATACACAATACGGTGACTGTTCTCTGTTTTTGTGTTGTTAAGTGTCCGGATTTGCTGCTTTTGTCGACGCCAAAAATACATCGATTTCTGTGACATAACTTTGAACAACTGAGTTCTAAACTTTTTGGCGCTAAAGAAGTATAGTATGAAATTGATTGAAAGGTTGAGGAAAGTCAACACTTTGCAGATTTTCTGAAACAATTGCCAGCGAGCTCTGAGAATAGGGGTATTCCAGTGAACAGTCGAGTATAGATACGTGTAGAAGAGAATGCAGTTAGGAAGTGTGAATATGGAAAAACAGACAGCAGCGACGAGCATCATAGCTGTAACGCTGTTTTCAATTCTAGCTATTTCTTGTAGCGGTGTCGAAGAACGTCGGCGAGAAGGTGTCACGGTTCGCTGAATCTCTGCTAATCCTGGAGTATTTATTTGCAGGGGAGCATGACAGCTTAACCGTTTTCTGCCTTGATGAACACGCCGAAGTTGGTGTGAGATCAAAGCGATGGTCACTAGAATGAACACCAAAGGTAGACCGGCGTAAAGCAAATTTCGAATGATATATAGGTTCATGTTCTCATATCCTAACGTCCAAGTGACGCTGTTGTAAACTATAATGATGGCAAGAGCGAGAAGCACAGCGGCCATTTTTGAATGTCTCATGGTAAAGTAGGAGCGTTTGTGGAGCGGGTAGCGAATGGTAACATACCGCTCCAGACAAATCAACACCAGAAGCCAGTTGGAGTAGGAGGCAACCATGTCATAGAGCATAGGAAACACATCCCAGTATTGTGTTGCTCGACTGTACATCCGGTGTTTGTCTAGGAAATATACCACTGTCTGAATGCAGATCCCGACAAGGTCGGAGACAGCCAGAAGGCCGACGAAGAACGTTGCCGTGGATCTTGGTAAAGAGGCAATTGTAAGGATAGCCAAAACATTCCCAATTATTCCGGTGATCACAGAAAAACATAATCCGGTGATGAAGATAACATCAGCTGCTTGACACAGTGTCTCAATAGTCGCTATCTCATCCGGCGTTTGTAAAGGTAGGCATGTTGAGGCATTGAACTCAATTTTGGAACACTTGAATGTCTGCGAGTACACCGTCAGATTAACACTATCGTTAAAACAGCCACTCTGATTATGTGGCGACCCCATGGCAAATGTACCAGTCAGTGATACTAGATCTGTACCTCGTGACCAATCAGAGCCAATCAGCGCACCTCTGGTTTACTCGTTATTTCCTATTGCTGTATTTACTAAACACTTTTTTTTTTGGGGGGGGGGGGCACATGTGACTGGTATAACACTTGGTATCCAAAATGTTATTTAAACCTTTGTTCTTTAACATTATTATTTAGTCCTCTCTGGATCTTAACATTAATTCCTGTAGGCAACACTATAGCTGAGGAATCAATAAGTAAAGTCTGTAAAGGGATAACTGCTTGGGACTGAAGAAGTTGAAACATTAAATAGGAAGTGATCTATTTGGGTACCCTTGCCAGTAAACACAGAACAGGTGTGATCGAGTGTTTTACCCGGGGAGGCCAAAGCGGGCAACAAATGTCTGCACAAGTCGGATGTGTCGGCCGAAAGTCGCAAATGTCGCAGCCATCTTGTAAACAGAAACAACACATTAACGGCCTCTGATGAATGAAGAAGAAGCAGTCGTTTTACGCTTGTGGAGCTAGTGATGGGGTGTTCGGAGCACCTGGCCACCTGTCCGCTGTGATGTGATGGTAGTTCCCCACTGACCATTTATCACCTTTGCTAGTCGTTTGGTGCTGTTTGGTGTGTCTCACGTTAAAGATGACGTTCAGCAGAAATTAAGACCGTTAGCACATAATATCTTGAAAGTCGTTGTATGCAGTCTTGACGTTTTATTTTTTTCCACATTACAACACTACCCGTCCGCCCACCCACAACCCTCTCTTTCCGGGCTGCTACCTTAATGTTTAGCACCTTGATACCACAGAATCGCAATCTGGACGGCAAGCCAAGATGGCCAGTCATAGATGCCCCGTTCAACTTTAAAAAAAAGTTTGTAATTATAACATCCGTAACGGCAACGCCAGTCCGATGTAGTCTGTAGTCTCTTGTGGGTTACATAACCCTACACCAACATTCTGAAATATAAAAGATATTCTTTAGAAACGGGCACAAATTGTACCACAACATTTTGACACAGGGGCCATTTACTTTACACTATGTCAATGCATTCTTGGGAAGTAAAGGGGGTCGACTGGTCTATAAAAATTTAGGTCTAGCCCTAATTACCAATACGCCTAAAGGCGTGAAAAAGGGACATTTACTTTATGTAAATGCATGTTATAGATACAGTGTCAGACTTACATATTCCATGACTCTAGTCTAAATCGAGAAAACGTCTGTACAAAGTTTTTCTGTTCCTTTCCTAGAATTCCATTACCTGGATTTGTTTTCAAGAAATTTTATTACTTCCTCTTTTCCAGCAGGGGGAAGTAATTGCGGTCGTTACTGGTTCCCGCCACATTAGAGAACATGCAGACGACGGATGTAAGCGCCTGAACGCATACAACATGAGGGGTTGGAAAAAGGATGGCGGGGGTGGGGGGGGGGGGGTGTCATTGAGTCCTTTTATAATTTTTAGTGGACTGGGACCCAAAAGGAGGGTGGGGGGGGGGGGGGGGGGGTTAAAGCTAGTTTAAGTGCACAGTAACACAATTATTATTGTGTGCCGAATGGCAAATAATCGTTAACATTTATCGTAACACAAACAAAAACTTTGACCTTACCCGCACAGGACTACAGGTTGCATCTGGCTGGTTTAGCCGTTGTCGGTGACCTAATTATAGCTTCTTTGAAGGTTGAACAGGGTATCTGGGACCCACCTTGTTGGTCTATCGTCCTGATTAAGGTTTTTAAATCTCAGGATGGTGTGATAAACCTTTAGACAACGACCCAGTGGAGACAAATCTATTGATCAGTGGAACAAATACTTCATTGTTTCAGAGCCAAGCAATTTCTGCTATACAATGGAAGGTAAAGCTAAGAGGAGTGATTTCGTTGCATCGAGTTTCATCCCATATGGCTTTCTCTCTCTCTCTCTCTCTCTCTCTCTCTCTCTCTCTCTCTCTCTTCCTCCCTCTCTCTCTCTCTCTCTGCAAAACTGCTGGCTGCCTGCCGAGAGCGTACAATTTTACGGAGATTTACGAGACCGTCGTTGGAGCTACGGAGGTCTCGCTTTGTGCGACTCTCTCGACAGGCAGCTGACTGTTCTGCGGAAAGAGACTGAGTCAAACTGGATAAAACCTGGCGCAGTTAAGACGATGCTCTCACCTTTACCTTTACTCATCTAGCACAGTTAAGACGATGCTCTCACCTTTACCTTTACTCATCTAGCACAGTTAAGACGATGCTCTCACCTTTACCTTTACTCATCTAGCACAGTTAAGACACCACAGGACAGTTAAGAAGTAAACTGTAGACCAGTGTTGGTAGGCCTTTTAATAAAGGATATACACAGTTATCAGTGAGTACTGGGAACTTATCACGAATTCTCCCACACGAGAGTTCCTTCCCCTCCTATTCATGCCGCGACAGGTCGCATGACCTGTACTTTGTTGAAGGGGTGTTATGACGCCTGTGTGAGTAAGAAGTACTGCAGGCGCGACTATTCTTGAAAATCGAAAGTTGGATGCTTTTGTATGTATACTTGCCGTGGCTGTGCCCCCAACAGAAAAAAAGGAACCACCGACATGGAACGTAGGAATAACATGGCAGTTTCGATACTCACGAATCAAGAGTCAAGTAGGACAACGTGAAAATAATCACGCAAGCGAGCAGTGACAACATGAGAAAAGAGAGAACGTTTAAACCGTTGAAAATAATAAATTCGGGGACCCCCCCCCCCCCTTTTTTTTCCCTTAACACATGACAGGTCTTGGGGTTTACCACGGCATGAATGGGAGGGAAAGGAACTCTCGCCGTGCGGGCGAGTTTGTGATAAGTACCAGTAAAAGACATGCCTCCACGTCTTCAAGAGGTATTGAATACACAGGGCTGGACCTGTCTTTAATAGACTAAACTTCAATTGGTGGGTGATGTAGTTAACATCGCATCGGTCGCCTTTACTTCCAAGGACTTTACCTGCCACCCGTTTAGTGCTGGGTCACCTGGGAACCAAGTTATTTTGTAAAAAAAATGCCGGCTCCTTCAGGACCTGAATCCACGACCCTCTGATGAGAGTCTAGCCGTTACAACACGGCCACTCCCAATGGTTATGATTTAATATAAAATGTTTGATTAGGTGAAATGAGTTTAACGAAAAATGTTTTCGAAATAATCATGAAATCATGAAATGTAAATCACGAATGAAGAATTCAACGAAGCTATGGTCACGTGTCTGCTAGTGAGAGAAGACGTCTACACATAGTTAGAGAGGCAATATCACCCCACTGGAAAGTTTCTGTACATAGAGACAGACAGACTTACACACAGGCAGTCAGATATATATATATATACAGACAGGTAAATAGTTAGATGGATAGATTGTCAGACAGATAGATATATAGACAGACAGACAGATACTTACACAGACTTACAGACATATAGATAGACAGACAGACATATAGATAGACAAACAGAAATATAGACAGACAGACAGACAGACAGACAGGTAGGTAGGTAGGCAGGTGGATAGATAGATAGATAGATAGATAGATAGATAGATAGATAGATAGATAGATAGATAGATAGATAGATAGATAGATAGGTAGGTAGGTAGGTAGGTAGGTAGGTAGGTAGGTAGGTAGGTAGGTAGGTAGGTAGGTAGGTAGGTAGGTAGGTAGGTAGGTAGATAGATAGATAGATAGATAGATAGATAGATAGATAGATAGATAGATAGATAGATAGATAGATAGATAGATAGATAGATAGATAGATAGATAGATAGATAGATAGATAGATAGATAGATAGATAGATAGATAGATAGATAGATAGATAGATAGATAGATAGATAGATAGATAGATAGATAGATAGATAGATAGATAGACAGACAGACAGAAATATATACACAGACAGAAACAGACAGAGAAAGGGCATCGCCCACGCCCCATAGATCATTTGTCTGTTCTCTATCTCTACTTCTGTGAGTGACGTCGTCCTTACCGGCATACGACTGCAGGTCACACTTGGCGGTTGTAGCTGTTAGCGGTGCTTTAATTATAACTTCTTTGGGACTGAACGGGGTATCTGGGATCTGCCTTGTGGGTCTGCTGTCCAGTATAAGATTGCCTAATCTCAGGGCGGTAGAGTAAATCTTAAGATACAAGCATGATCGATTTGAGAGTGCCCATAAATGCTTGTAAGCACGTTTAACATACAGTCAGTTGTGGCACCTGGCACAGTTGTTTGGTGGCAGCTGCTTGTTGCAACTGTGAAATGTCAGGAAAAGCAGGTGCGCAAACGTTTCAGTTTCACGTTTTTTTTTTTTCTCTCAGTAGAGTTTCCATTTCAAACCTTCGTTTCTGGCAAATGTGCACGGGTAGCAAGTAACACATTGTTGACCATTATTTCTCTCCCCCACTCTGTTTCTCACTCACATAATAGCATATCAGCCACAAGTCTAGCTTATAACAAACAACCAACTGTTTACTTTTCCATCTTTTCCCAATTTACTGGCACAACAACCTGCCCTCTAGCTCTCGACAAACATTCGCGGAAGAAGAAAAAAAAAACACCCCCCAATGACATTTACTATTCTTTCTCTTTGCATTAAATTTGTCTCCTTCCTCTCTCAGTGTCTCATCTTCTGTCTCCTTTTCACTTCCCGCCCCCATCTCTCTCGCTCTCTCTCTCTCGCTCTCTGCACCTGTCTGTCTCTCTGCCTCTCTCTTTCTCTGCCTCTCTCTGCTTCTCTCTCTTTTTCTCTCTCTCTTTCTCTCTCTCTCTCTCTCTCTCTCTCTTTCTCTCTCTCTCTCGCTCTCTGCACCTGTCTGTCTCTCTGCCTCTCTATCTTTCTCTGCCTCTCTCTGCTTCTCTCTCTTTCTCTCTCTCTCTCTCTATCGCTCTCTTTCTCTCTCTCTCTCTCTCTCTCTCTATCGCTCTCTTTCTCTCTGTCTGTCTCTTTCATAGCAAGTACATTAGCGACATCTCTAGCTTTTGGCAAATATAAAC